CCGAACTGCAATTATGTTGTTTTACTTTATACTAAGTCTGAGCGGCAGCCATTTTGGTTTGTTCCTGCTTTTGATTGCTTGACCTGTGTTGACTGGAATTGTGCATTTTGGTTGTGAATTGAAGCACTCTTCCAGAATTGAAAACACTCTGTGTTATAGAGCGACCAACTATTACCTTTTGAACGAATCTGTACGTGATCTATCCAGACAGGATAGAATAACATTTATTTGTGGTGATTGGTAATTTTCTTGCATTCTTTATCAACTTTCTTATTTATTGTAGTTTAGATTTGATCAATTAAACAATTATTGATTGGATAGCTGTGTGGTTATATTTGTTTAGGTAATAATGTATGCCTAAATTTATGATAAATTATAGAACCGCTATCTTACCCAATTACCTTGTTTTGGTTTCAAACGGGCGAGGGCGCGCATCGAACTTATCCAGGCAGCTGTCCAGCAGTCCAAACGTGGTTTGGATCCTACAGTTCTAAACAAATATTACTTGGCCGAAATCCTTTGGTAGTCGTTCACGGATTTTCTGGAAATAATTGGTCGTGTCGCTTATAATGCCAGTTAATAATTCTGTGCATTGATGAAGTTTGAGTGTGATGTAAGGGCAGCCTTTAGTTGACAGTGAAAACGTTCAACCATCCCATTAGTCTGAGAGTGATATGCACGACGAATTCTGTTGTGATCTAGAAGTTTAACTAAGTTATTAAGTAGTTAGGAATCAAATTGTTCTCCGCTATCCGTTGTTATTGTTTTAGATGTACCAAAAAACGATCAACGGTTCTACATGAAAACCTTGATCACTGCTTCGACTGCAATTTCCGTTATCGGTATGGCTATAGGGAATCTCGTGAGTCGATCTATACATGTAAACAGATAATTAAAGCCGTTCAAATGCGGTAAACAGCCTACTAAGTTGATGTGCACATGGGTGAAACGTGAATCTGGTTGTGAGAGAACGCCGATGGGTGAACTTGCGTGATGACTGACTTTTGACTGTTGACACGCCGAACACTCCAACCCATTTGTGTACATCCTTTTGTAGATTTGGCCACATATATCTGGCACTGTTTAGTTTAGCCGAAGCTAGACAAAGAATGAAAATCATTAAATACTAAACGTTGCATAATTTTTGGGACGAAAGGTCTCGGCATTACGTTGTTCGTGTCACAGCAAATAAAAAAACCGTCAATAGGTTACTGGTTGCTGCTTTAGTTTGAGATAATAGTTGTTTGTTTTAGTTAGGTTTTGTAATTTGTGATCCTCTTCTTGCTTGTTCCTCAACATCTCGGAATTTACTGTAAACTGTAGCGTCACGTTCATTTCTAGTTGAAATAATGCATCTGCCACCTGATTTCCTGACCTTTTACTCGTTGGATATCACTTGTGAACTGTGATATGTAATCAAGGTATCGAACTTCTCTAGATGAGTATTTATCGGCTCTCGCTTTTAGTGAGTCGGCCAGTGGTTTGTGATCCGTAAAACTTTGAAGTCCCTGCCTTCCAACATATGTCGGAAATGCTTAATGATTAGGTAGATAGCAAGAAGTTCTCGTCCGAAGGTGGAATATCTTACCTCTGTCGGAGCGAGTCTTTTTGGGAATAAACCACTTGGTTTCCAGGAGTTTATAACAAGTTGGTTAAGGATACCGCCTACTGCTTTCTCCAAAGCATCTACCATAAAAGCGAATGGGGAAAAGGGAATCCGTATACATCAACGTAGATGCTTGAGTCAGTCTGTACTTTGGCTGTTTGATAGCTTAACAGCTTCAGAAGTCAACTTGGATTCTTTTGATTTTTTTAAGTGAATCTGTCAAAGGTTGCATTAATTGTGCCAAACTGGGTATGAATCTGCGATAAAAGTTAACTAGACCTAGAAAACTTCTAACTTGTGTTAAAGAACTAGGTATGGGTTACTGTCTGATGGTATCCATCTTTTCTTTGATCGGTGAATTCTTTTTGGGCTTATTGTGTGCGCGAGAAATTTTAAGGTTCGAACACTGAAATCACACCTTGATGTATGTCCATTCCACTTTCATCTAGACGTTTTAACACTGTTCGTACATGATGTTCGTGTAATTGTGAATTGGAACTGGCAATTAACAAATCGTCTAAATACCATCATGCAAATGGCATATTCCGAAGTAGGTTATCCGTGAATCTTTGAAGTTGTTATGCTGTGTTCCTCAGGCTGAATGGCATGCGTATAAACTCGAACAATGCGAAAAGTGTGTTGGTAACAGTCTTAGGGATATCTTCCCAACTACTGGGATATTGTGATACGCCCTAACCAAGTCAATTTTAGTAAATATGTTTGTACCGTGTAAACCGTCTGTAAAATCTTGGGTATGAAGTATTGAGTATCTATCTGGTGCGGTTTGACGGGTAATGGCTCTGTAATCCCCGCCAGTTGTCTTCATTTTTCTTTGGGGCCATATGCAAAGGGGATGTCTATTGACTATCAGAGAGACTTGTAATATCCTGTATTGTAGCATGTGGTCGAATTCAACTCTAGCGATTTTAAGCTTTTTTGGAGCCAGTCTCCTGAGTCTTGCAAACACAAGTGCACCTTTGGCTTTGATCATATGACTTAGTTTGCGTTTGGAAGACTGTGGGTAAGGTTTAGTTAAGTGTGAAAATTCCGCGAGTATATCCTGGAATTTTGCTGTTGTTACTGGAGGAATTTGTATAAAATTGAGAGATTTCATGTGACTTTCACTGTCTTTTGTGTAATTCAAAGTTTCTTTCAGTGTCGAGTGTCGTTTTCTAGTGTCAAATAGAAATTCGTATCTCTCTAAAAAGTTCATCCTCAGTATTGCCAGATCTACATTGGCTACAGTGAAAACCCAGAGGAATTTCTTCCTGAACCACAAATCTAGAGATAAAGATTTCTGGTCACATGTCGCGATTTTAGTTTTATTGGCAGCTTGAAGCGTAACTGGGGATGTTTCCCGACCAAGCTCAGTTTTTTCCGAGGAATGATACTAATAGTAGCGCCAGTATCCACTAAGAAGTTCAAGCCAGAGTTTCTGTCTCTAACATAAAACTAACAACTGTTTACGCGCCTTTCCTCAGTTGTCGCGATCTGGATAGGGATTATTCGTTTCTCATATTCTTGGGTTCCTTTTAGACCAGGCGCATGGTTGCCTGCATTTAGTTGAGTTGACACCAAACCTACGGCGGTATTAACAGAACTATCCAGATTAGCTGAACATTTGCGAATGTTTTGTGACTTGGATTTCGGTCGTTGGTGTGACCTGCTCCTGTTTCTATGAGACATTTTGCATTCTGGAGACAGCCTTATTGTGACTTTTAACACTCTCAATGAATCTTTTTATGAATGAGTCTTCTGATGGTTGGTTGTTCCTGCGCCCACCATTCCCGACCCCCTCTGAGTGTTACATGCTGAGTGTCAATCTTCTCAGTATTTATATGTTCAACTTCGAGAATCGCTTGTTTATGAACCAGTGCCGCTACTAATATTTCATCCATTCACGATCGAGTATAATCCTTACGGAAGGATCTAGAAAATCCTAAATCATGCGCCATGGTTTGGGTTGGATATCTATCTATGTTGTTGCTACATTTAGTAAGGTTTCAGAAATTTCCAGTAGCACACGTTTGTGTGTAACTCTTTAAAAATTCTCGTTTACCGGCATTTGAACAAACCTGGGATGAAGCACAATTATGCACTTGGCACATTTTTCTTGTTCTCGAGTTGCCATATTGATCTATGCTAGGCTATTAAAGCGTCTTAAAAGTTGAATCAAGCGATTATCAATTAAAAGACATATAGGTACGTGCAAAAGTGATGCTTTCTTCGTCTTCCATCTGTTTGTACAAATAGACTAGAAATAATCACACGGTTCTATTGAATTTAAATTTTCAGGAGATAAATGGGCTTACTGGACCGACCAAAATTGAGACTGCGTGCCTGATCATGAATACTTTACTGACGTTTAAGAATTCTTTAAAGTAACACGTAAGCTCCTTGAAATTTGTTACATCACATCAAGATTGAAAACTTATTTGGGAAGCGAAGTGAAGGCTTTTCTGTTTCTCATTACACAACAGGCTTCAGTGTGCAATATTCAGACGTCTAGCTAATAATTATGCGCCATCAATTATAGACATATCCTTATTTTCGTGTAACTCTTTTAGTTGTACTTAACTTATTATCCAGTTTATTATTGATTACTCAGCTTTTCTTGCGTTACTTTTACATAAGTCTTCATTTTCTAGAAAAACGTCTCCACTTGTTTAAAGATTTGCCTCCCCTAGAATATGCAAGCATTCATCTGATTACACATTTTTACATTTCTTTCAAGAATTCGTCTTTTCACAAGTACGACATCAAACCAATCGGGCGATCCCAAATAATTATTGCTGGTGTTTGCGGGTTGTACATGATTGTTGAGAACCTGCAATACGGTGAATTCATATCATTTCGCTTTTTGTTCCTAGTTTATTTCGATCTCATGGCATCCACGTGCTTCGTTAAATTGGTTGTTGAATAATGATCAATAGTGTCTCATTCCGGTCAACGTCTTTGCGAAACTCAGATCTTCGGCATTTAACTTGTGTGCCTACTAGGTCCTTTGTTTGTTTAAGAAAAACTTGGACACAGCCTGATGCGGATAGTTATGTGATCCCTCTGTTGTCCTCACTCTTATTAAGACCTTTTTTTTCGGTATCTTGATGAAGCACCTTTTTTCAGACTTTCGACATGTTTACAATTAATTATATGTCCGACTTCAGTACCTAAGCTGGTGAAGCAGTTTCAAAGGCCAGAGTAACTGCCTAACCAGGTGAAGTTGATAAGTTTAAGAAATTACATCTTAGATAGAAGACAACTCTTTCGCATGAAACAAAAGTCTGAAGGATGTACCTTCTCGATACTTCGACTGTCAAACAGTTGAAAAATACTTCTTACAACATGACCTGTGTTCTTTTGTTAATTTGACAAACTGCGCAACACTAAGGATATTCTGGAGCGCTTTTTGGTGTGCTTTCGATTGTACGGCTGTTTTCTCATGATGGTTTGTTTCTGAAATATGGTAAGTCAGTCTTACTATCTTCATACAAACGAATCTTAAATGACAAATTTCTTGATTGTTGCTCCAATATATATAATGTTATGTCGAAATGAGTTGTGTTGCTTGGTTAGTGGGGGTCACAAATGGATCAGCTGTTCCCATATGTCCGTCGCTATCTTGCCTCTGATAGTAATTTCTTTCATATCAAATTAAGACAGATTTGCCAAACGCTTTTCAGATTGACGCTTTGGCCCTTTAACTACTGGTTGATGCCATTCTTGAACATGCTTGTACACTTTCATAAAACTTTTGTTTGAATATTGAGAAAGCATATTTACACAAGTCTTGGTTTTTATTTATGGCAGCGTTTTAGTCCATTCTTTTATGTCCGCCGTCTGGTTAGCTATCCAACGTCCTGCGGTTGGAACTTAGATATTTAGACCCTTAAAGGGTACTATAACCATTCCATGTGTTTGTGGAAATGAACAATTCAAACCTACTTGGTCACCAGCAGTAATTGCCTTTTGCGTTTGTACTTTTGTGTGCATGAAACGTGCTTGAGCATTAAGACAAGGTATGATTATTCTTTTGTTAGTCTTAAGTACTAGGATATCGTTTGGAGATATAGATCAAGTAACTATGCTGATAGTACTAGTTAATTTTAACTTATTTTGTGATGCCCTACTTAGAGAAGGTACAAAACATTTAACGGAAAATTATTTCTGAACAGTGGGTAAAAACCATGTTTTAGTCCAACCAAACGACGAATTATTAATCATACCTTAGAGTGCTTATCAGTAAAAATGGGTGGTTTTCAACAAGATATTTGTTGAATATTTACATTCGTATCAAGAATAGTTGAGGTTTATAAAAACAAATATTCTCTTTGGATATCTTGTAATATTGGTATATACCAGACACTGTTGTTAATGTCAGAGCATGTGATTATGGACGAAGGTAGAATTGATACACTCGTGTCAAGTTCATCTGGAAAAGGTTAGCGTTTTAGTCATCATAGAAATCTCAATCTAAGAAACCATACCTTGTCTTGGTCTTCAGGGACTGACCTATATTACCTGGAAGTTTACTGAATAACTTAGAATACTTATGATATAGTTCTGTTCGGTGAAGGTGCTGGTATAATGCAGAGTATTATAACCTTAAGTAACAGTGCAAGCATTTAAGGTGTTTCTTCATCTCAATGTAAAATTTTGGTTACGGACTGATCTGAATAATAACATAGATTAATTGTTGGGAGCGAGGCAGTGTGGTGTACCGACCACTAACTTTGGAAGTCTCTTTGACCCTAGTAAGTTGGTGACTGAAGAAACATTCATACGACAGAAAGCTTAGTTGGCTTTTGTACATCTACATCACTTGTCGCGTAGGTGAGATGTTCGTCTGTCAATCATATGGCGAGTATACTGTGTGTCAGTTAGCTCTGTCCTACTGTATGACCGTGATAGTTCCTGATAATAAAAGATGGATGGGCTGAAGATTTTTTGCCGTAAGTGTCTTCAAAACTCCCACTTTATCGTAAAACGATCGACTGAATAATGTTGAGTTTAGCCATAGAGTACTAGGCAAATATGGGAAATCAGTTGATGAGATTATAGATTTTCGACCGATGTATTTAAGACGTGGCACTCATGCTTGACCACTATCTACTTTTACGGGCAATGTTTACCTTTGTAGGAATAGGTCGGAAGAATTGTAGGAGAGGCTACAAGAAGGCGTAGCATCAGAACATGAAATCACTGACTGTTGTTGTGAATCATGTTGGTAGACGTTGACCATCTGGTTGGAGTCTGCACGATAACTGCGTCCTTTTTTAGACGGGTATAATATCTTAAAATAGGTAATAATGGCTCATTTGCATTCATTCATTTTACTCTAGATCTTGAGCTTTATTATTCCTTGCTACATATTTTTGTCTTCTCTAACCATGTTATCAATCACTAGTCTCCCTCATTATCTACTACTACAGTATTTCTATTTATAATTTTATGTCATCTTGCTGATGTATTTTGGTCTAACGCACATATGTGCCAAACACTACGTTGATTATGACCGACTATTATGTTTCCTAGAATACTTTACTGGTTTTATTTAACTGCCGTAAGACGTTCACGTATTTGCATCATTAACACAATCTAGTCTTTGATTGGTGGGATATTTGTCAATAATTGTCAACTAACTTTCCCATAGTAACCTGAATCCACAAAATTTGTAATCACAAAACGGTACTCTTCAGCAGTACGTAAATCTATAATTTTTAATGTAGTCTGTCTTGTAGCTTCTGCGATCAATTAGTAATAACTTTAAACTGTTGATATAGTTAGATGAGCCGATCAATCAGTCTACCTGGACTCATTGTCGTATAGTCTCTCAGTACCTAACATGAATAAAAACAGCTCATGCAAAGTAGCGACATTCGCTTTAGGACGGTTTCCTAAGCCATTTGCTCAAAGTAATTAATGTTTGCTAATTAGATACTTGATAGTCATTGGGGGAAACGAATAGTACAGCAGGTTAGTTTTACTCTTGCTGTTGAAACTGTTACTGTTTTTGGGAAGAAGGAGTAGTTTCATAAAGTTCTTATGGAACTCACTTTTTGGTATTTGGTCCTGTTCATTCGCTTTCCAATTCTGTTTGCGATTTTAATTTAAGAACTAACAGTTCCGTGCTGCTTCCATACAATAACTAAAATAATTCTTATTTGGTAGCTACTCCGTTAATTCTGCGTGTCCTGTTCAATGTCAGGAAGCCTCATTAGTCAGCGTGAAGAGCAGCCAGTGTTGGTCCTTACCTGTCAGCGAGATTCACACCCTTTTCAGGACCGCATAATTATACTAAATGAGATAATAAAAGTTGGACGTTCAGTGGCCCGCGCCAAACCTACAAAAACCAATGCGATCTTCGACTGCAAAGTCTTGTCGAGAAGTCATGCATTGATATGGCACAAAGGGGATCGGGTATGTTTTCGAATACTTTTAATCTCATTTACAGTTTTGGTTACGTGATACAAATAGTAGCAATGGAACTTTTGTCAATAACACAAGAATAGTGAAAAAAAATGATGAAGATTTTGCCGACCGTGAGATATTTTCCGGTGATATCATTCGTTTCGGAGTAGACGTCGTTGAACATGATAGTAATTTATATTTCGTTGCTTATATTTATTTGACCTTAGCAACTCACGGCTGCATCATAGCTCAAGTTGCTTTGTATCATCCTAATGGAACAGAAGCAAAACAAAGGTAAATAAATTATTAGTTTTATTCGCTTAGTAGCGTTGATTATGTCAGTAGTAATAATGCTTTGACTGGTATCGAGGCACTCCATACTGAACAAATGTTCCGCTTCACACATTACATTAGCGTATGTTTATTTCTTTAGTCATTCACTACTGGTTTTCAGGAGGCTTTATTTCGGGAACAAGTTCTGGACACAAAACTTGAGTCTATCAAACGGCTCCTACAAGAGGCACAAGAAATTTCTGAGGCTGGTTGGCAAGTAAGTCTAAGCTTTCCGTCATTCTATCATTTAGGCTATGGTGGATGAAGATCGACTTTTGGAGAAGCTAAGTCTCTATGAAACTCAACTATCTTTATTGAAGCAAGTGAGTCGCCAGTTCACAACCATGTCTTTTAATATTAGTTTTGGATTTTGCATAAATACTTATATGCTCCGGATTTGTGATATTTTTTTTGTTTCAAGGATTTGCCCGAGAATTCGTTACAGTCGCATCTAATGCAGGCTCTAGAAGAAAAATTTAATCTTGAGAAAGCCAGTAAAATAATGTTGGAACGCCTGTTAAACGAGAAAGCGGAAGTTTTTAGCAAAGCTACAGATCTTGAGGTACGTTCATGTTATTTTAGTTATGTGTACATTTCAGTCGAACAAGCATTAAGAACTAATGACTAAACTTATTTTCCCTCGTTCTGAGACTTTGGAAGAACCCATCACTTTAGTTCCTTCCGAAGATCCATGAATTCTTCAATCAGTGACCTTTGAAACACTAAACCTATATATAATGAATACTTCCTAAACGTCAAACTATAACTGTCGGACTCCGATAAGCATGCCTGTCCTAAGATTTGGCGAATGGTGAGTATATGGTCGATGTAGCCACGACCAGGTCTAAAGCCAGCCTGATTTCCTCGTGTTTGCAGTTTACGAGTCTTTGTTAGGCGCCCGATAACTATTGAGGTTAGTATTTTAGATGCTATGTTGGTCAAACTAATCCCTTTATGGTTATCAGAGAATGATTTTGACCTCTTTTTATATATTGGGACAATCAGTGATTGCGACCAGTCAGATGGGATTACGTCCAACTCCCAGATTTTAGCTAAAAGATTAGTCAATCTAATCTCTAAAACTGGACCACCATTCTTAAAGTCCTCTGGAGCCAATCCATATGGACCAGCTGCTCTTCCTCGTTTCAGATTAGTTATAGCCTTTTGAACTTCAGCTAGAGTCGGGGACCTACTTCAATGTTCCATTCAGGCTGTCTAGGAATAGTAGATAGTTGTAAAGTAGCTGAAGGTCAGTTGAACTGTTCCTTAGAATGTTCCGCCCATCGTTCTAAACGTCCTGACTGGGAGCAGATAAGAGTGCCGTCGTTTTCTGAGATAGCCTCACTTACACTTGACTTATTAATTCCAGTTTCTTTTTTTAGTTTGTAAAGCTGTACTGTGTTACCTACAACCGCTACCATTTCCATCTCTTTTGCTTTCGTTGCTCACCACTACTCGCGGTCGTTTTTATATCCGCCAGTCCACGAGGACTAGCTATCGGGTCTCCAAATAAACGGAGGGTGTATCTCGTCGGCTCCCCCTTGTGGCGAGTTAAGGTCAAGCGAACGACCATACTAGGATCCTGTATGCGTGTTTCGGAGACAGCATGCATCAATGATACGAGATTCACTGTTATGCTGGTTGTCTGAGGGGAACACCTTACTGCCGTCACAACTCTGTACAGTCAGCAGTACGACTTCGCCCTCAGACCTTGGGTTTGCTGCTCTTCAACCGACCTGTCTTGCAAAGTAGGACCTTGAGGAATGATTGTCCCGACCAGCATAGCTCGATTGGTTCATCACGATAGGCAAGCCTGATCACCACGTTAAGGTAGCAGCAACGGTATTCATGTGCTTTATATTTAATTGTAATTTCTAAAGGAATATGAACCACTTTTTACGTTCTTGTTTATGAGTCTGATACAATTTTAAAGACTGTTGATGTGGCACTCGACCAAACTTCACGTATATTTAATAAGTCATACTAGGTAATAAGGCCTGTCCATGTTTTGTTTTGGTGTCATTTACGATCAGAAGTCTTTCAGTCAGTCAGCTACAACGTAGGACCAGGCACATTTATGCATCGGTCCAAGTTGCCATACCTCATTAACACAACAAGATGGACACCGGATTCATAAAAGTAGTTAATTCAGCGGTGGTAATATATAAAAGAAAGATTGCAATAAGGATATGAAGTCTTTCATGCACACCGAAATCCAGTCGTGGTAAAATTATTGGAATACAAAGAATCTAGATTTGATTTTAATTATTTATTCAGTTCTTATCGATTGTATAACTCTGTTTTTACCCGACAGTACGTAACTTCTCATCGATTTCCACATGTATTCATACTAAAAGAACAATGTCACTTATTCTTAACGTATAAATTTATGTATGAAATCACTAACCAAGCTTGGTTTTTTAGTTTTAATGCGGAAATAGATTAGCTTTTATAAATTCTCTATATCCACAAAAATGTATTCATGTTGTAGCATTCTTTGGTCGTGTCTCAAAAAGAGTGCATTCGCCTTCGTCAAGACTACGAAAATATCCAAGAAGCGTACCAGAATTTAGCAAACGATAGGCAGTCGAAGCAAGTAGCATCAGAGGGATCAAAGGTAAGCTTTAGAAAAGTCAAGGCTCTATTTCCTTTTTGGTTGGTTGCATTTATAAATCAATTATAAATCAATTCGCCATCAGTTCAACACAATTTTGCTTGCGATCACTTGTACAATTAAAAATACACTGAAAGTACAACGTCCATAATCATGCTCAATACGTTTTACTTTTTGTTGTGAGTTTTGCTGTTGACCTTTTTCTGGTTTCAGTAATGCAGAAAGATTTTACGATTGGAATGAATCCCTGGTATATAAGGTATAAAATTAATATGAAACTCGATTCTTCAGGAAAGAAATGAGTGGACAAATCTACGATACTATGACCAATTCTCAGTCATGCTGCTCGACTTCTCAAACAGCTAGTCGTGAAAACTGTCTTTACTCCGAACTAGTAGTCTGCACCTAACAATACTCAGAGTCAACAGTCAATGATTTCCTAGACTGATGGTACTTCTTGATTTGACCACCGTAGCCTCCTACCAGTCTAATTGTTGCTCCACTACATTGTGGAGCAATGCTAAGAGATGCAGTCCCATGGTATCCTGTATTTCTTGAAGTAGGATTTTGCAGAATATCTTTTGTGGTTTCTTTTTCTGCAGCCGGTTTCTATATGGCACTTCCGACGACACTTAGAAGTATTTTGACTTTTGATGTGTCATGAAGTCTGCAGAGACCAATACAGAGCAAATTTTCATATTTCTTAAACCAAGAATCAAAAGTTACACCTGCTGCAACATCAAGATTAAATTCGTGAATGGTATTAATGACTGAATCAGTATGACATACTTGCGATTCACCAAAAGCAGGGTTTTGCTGGTCAAATTCAAGGAAAAATGTTTCTGATTATTGTGGATGCATTTACTAAGTGGCCAAAAGCATATACCATGCCCAATTGTACAACATTAGAAACAGTCCACAAGTTGTCTACCTTGTTTAGCTGCTTCGGAGTTCCAGAGACCTTAGTAACTGATAATGGCTCGCAATTCATCGCAGAATCGTTTAAGTATTTCTGTAGCACAAATGGAATAACTCATCTTTGTTCTCCGCCCTATCATCCGTAGTCGAACGGACAAGCAGAACGTTTTGTGGACACTTTTAAACGAGCATTACTGAAAGGGGGAGGCGAAGGGACAACTGGACAGATAATCACAAAATTTTTAACATCCTACAGAACCACTCCGAACCCAAATGTTCCAGATGGTAAGTCTCCTACTGAAGCCATGTTCGGAAGGCGTATTCGGACCGTTTTCAACGCCATGTTGCCATCCAAATGAGTGGATGGGCACAGTCACAATCCAAATATCCGGAGCTTTAATGTTGGCGACGAAGTTTTCATTAAATCCTACCTCGGGAATAACCTATGGGAGCTGGGAAAAGTTGTACAGAAATTGGGAAAAGTTTTGTACAGAGTCCAAGGAACTTTTGGAACATGTATATGACATACAAATCAGATCTATAAAGACAAAAGAACGATGCAGACTCAAAATAACCAGCCGAATCTTCCGTTAGAGTTAATCTTAGACACATCAACTTTACATATGCCCAAGGACACTGAAAAGAAGCCTCGGACAAGGAAGACAACAAGAACAATGGGACGCCACCGGAAACCAGTTATCAAGCTACAAGTGGATCCTAGAAAGAAATCTTATTCGGGGGAGGTGTTGAGTCGGCTTCCGAGAACTACAACGGAGCCTCCAAAGGCCCTATAAGAGCAGAAGGGTTTCAGCTAATCAGAGCATAAAGAAGCTTTCTAGAATATCAACATGGTATGTTACTATTGGTCAGTAGCATAATATGTTTCTTAGCGGATTGGCCAAATTATAATGTTGATTTGACAAACGCTGATAATCTATAAATACCCGTGTTTTTCTGTACGAAAACGAACCGTTGGAGTAAAGTGCTTTTCCCTCGTGTTCAGGTCGTTGCGTATTTTCAGCTTGCGGGTTACCAGAATAGCTTAGGAACCGAACAAAGCGTTAAAATTAGCAAGACTTATCACTATTCTTATGCCAGCTAACATTGAAGATTAAGGCGTGCGTATTTAAGCACCTTATTGATCTAGTATTTTAGTCGTAAATCCTTTTGGCGCTGTACATGTCGACGAGACATTTTTTTCATCGTCATAGTCAGACGCGATTAGTATAATATAGACAAGAGATATCACTCTTGATCCTCACATATAGTTTCCGAAGATTTCAGTCGAATCTTATATCAGAGAAATGCCTATAAAGCAGTTATTGGGTTACACATAACTGTTTAAATAGGTTAAGACTTCTAAATGAATTGGAAATTATTGAAACTGCATTTGAATTATCCAACCGACTTAGTTGTCATGGCGGAACCTAAAGAGATGATGTAGCTCTGTTTGATCATCACGGTTAGGAATCACAATCACCACATCAAGGTAGCAGCTACAGACGGACCTCTTCTTAACTCTACTCATAATTTTTATCCAAAACGAAGTAAAACCAGTAGTATTGTCTAGTGCAATTTCAAACATACTACTGGTTTGATAATTATATTTTTTGTTATATCTCAATGAGTAGAACAGTTGTATTTTTGACGTTTCGTGACTTAGTGTAAGCTACTTCAGAGTAAATAAATAACCGAATTAAATTAACACAAGTTTAAATAGTACCATTTAGAATTGTGTTATTAACTTTCTACTAAAAGCTTGATATTTCAATAAATTCAACTACCCATTAGTGTTGCTTTGACAAAATCACCCTTTACTGTTAAGTGATGCTAACTTCAAAACTAATATTTAACGATTCTCATACTAGAAGTGAAACAATGAGATAATGTAAGCTATATGATTTTGTCTTATGAAAAAATGTCAAAAATTTCACAATTAAGATTCTTTAATAATTTTGTCGTTGTCTTGGTTTTCTACGGTCTTTAGTTTTAATAAATCAGATTACTGAACATAGTATCACTTTTTACTAAGGGTAGTTTCAACGCGAAGATCTTAAATAGCTTTCTTAATACTTCGATATAATGTTAGGAATATACAGATCACGAACTATTTTGATTTATGTATATATCGTCCAACCTTTTTAGTCTGGATAGTTTTACCTTTCTTGTTGCTATATATATTTCAGTCATTAACACCATTTGAAAAAAAATGTTTGACTTGAAACTACTATCAGACATTCATTTTTGCTTTGACTGGAATCAGTTATTAGTTCTATTAGGTCCCATCGCTATCGTTGTAAAGGTATGTCGAGTTGTATCTTAGTCGGTCCCTGGTTCATGCACTTAATTGTAATCACATAATAAACTATTTCTGGAATGTATAATGTTTTCACCTTACCAGCAATTGTTTATCTTATTTATTTATTTGAACACATAAGCATTGGTACAAAGGGCACCAAATACATATGTGCCACACGTCACTTGATTTGTGTGTGGGCTATGGTACTGCCCGGGTGCCCAGACCGAAGTAAGTGATCTTCTTAGGGAGCCACACCCGGGGCCTCCGACCTACAGGTCTGATCCACAAGGTAGTGGAGCAATGCCAAGAGATGCAGTCCCATGGTATCCGGTGACTAACAATTGGTTCATATGCCATTGGTTCCTTCAGGATCCTGGAGCCTATGTGCACCATCGGTTTGGAATCAGGGTTTCCCAACTCCCCTAGGTGAACCCTCCGTATCCACCAACCCGGTTAAAGCGCCAGACATTCACTTTTCGTCCTCTCAATTTCGTAAGCAACACCCCCGCCGCGAGAAGGCAGTGAGTAGGACTTCCCTCGAAATGGCTGTATACCTGTGGCCATGTGAGAGTATTTTGAGAGGGAAAGCTGAATCTCCTCACCCTCGGCCGTACCAGGGTATTTGGGAGCATAATAAAGGGGCGGATTTGTATGCATATAGCATACAATTTTCTTTGAACCTAGCACACAACAATAAAGTTGTTTATCTAGAAACTGTTTTTTTTAAATTTCTAATCGATTATATGATTATCATTCTTTTAATTCATCAAATTTTGTTTAGCTCACGATTCTTCACATGTTACCACTTGTATTGTAAAATCTGACATTTCATTTTTTTTTCAGTAAATTTTAGAGATTTAAGTACAATTCATGTACTGACAAATCACTCCGTAACTAACTTTGCTTAAATATTACTATTACTAATCAAATGAGCTCTTAACGTTGCTTTTTACTTAACTTGATCTGGACAGCTAAATGATATTGTAAGCTCGAATAAATGTATATTTATACAGTCTAGATTGGGAACATGTAGGCATTTTATGCGCCGCATTAAGTGTCCAATATGTGTTCGAGTAAGATGATAAGTCGCAAACGGTTTTTAACATGGAACAAACAATTAGTTTGTTTGTTAACTAACTGTCAAAATCTCATTTTCATGTTATACTTTGATTTTATTCGAATTCAGGAAAGCAAAATCGAAAAATCTGATGTGAAAGTCGAGACTGACCAACTTAAAGATGAAAAAGTGCTTGGAAAAGTTTTCGACCAGTTTCTATATTCTGATCATAGAGCAAATAATAGACAAGCCCTTGATAGCCATAACGGTAATGGTAAGGATTCTCAGTAATGTTTTTTTTATCTTATTTAATAGAACTAGCTGTTCGATTTCATTTGACATCTAAGATAAACAAGAATGACTCGTATCTTAATGACTTCCTAAAAACATTTTTCGGGTAACTAAAATTTTCCAGATTTGAATCCAATGGTTTGTGATTAATTTATCCCGACTTACGTATATCCTAAATCAAACTAGAATAGCAACAGATAAAGTGAAGTTTGAATGTTCAATAGGTGTTTCTATTAAGGACAAAGTAATATTATCCTGCTTAGTTTAATATAAAATAACTTAATACAAAAAAATTATTCAGCCATATCACTGATAAGTTCATAGCTAAATCTCTAAGTATTTCCCAACTTTTCACAGTGAGGAAGTTGACAATATTTAAATGTATATAAAGCATCAACCGAATTAATAATGTAGGTTGGTTGATTATTTATGTTTATGCGAAGTACTGACCTAATTAGTGATGTACATATAATCACTACCTCGGTATTATTCATTCGTATCTGGTATTTTACTTTCTTCAAAACAGTTGTTCCACAAATCACTAACAGCACAGAATTCCGTTATATCTGTTTACACAGTCCGTTCAACAAATGCGCAAACTGAAGTGGGATGAACTTACTTTTTACAAATTATAGGATTCATCATTACTGTTCCCTTCAAAACATTTTTCACTATCCAGAAATCCCTGAAAGCTCTCAAAACTCGATATTTTGCATTGTTTCGTCTTCTCACATTTTGCTAGAATCGTATGCACTGACAAGTTCTCCAAATTCAATCTATCAGGAATCATCCTGATAGTGAATCAACAGTCAGAAATCAAAAGTTCTCATACATTCAGTGTTTTCACCAAAAGAAACGTGTCATCCCCCATAAAGAGCTTTCAGTACTTCAATTTTCGTGCATAAGTAAAACACACCATCATTAGAAATGTTGATTTGTCAACCAGATATCTTGCATTGGAGAATCATCGACAGACGTTTCTCGACTGAACTCATTTTCCTGGCTTAGTAGCTGGATATTAAGATTTTAATTAATATGTAAATAGTATGTGATTTTATGGTTAGCTGTAACAACAGTAGAAATTTGCGATCATTAGATTTCCTAATTCTAAGCTTTTTTTTCAGATGCAAACATTCTTGTGAATGGTTTAGACAATGGCATTTCGAAAATCCCTGAGAATTATGATGGTTAGTATATTTCTTTTTTTGCTGAATTTATGCTCATAAACGGTTAGCATTACCTATCTGTTCATTTATCTATTTTTGCTAAAAAAGATTCGGTACAGACAAACGCTGAAAAATGCTTCGCAATTGACGAACTATCAGTTATGAGAAATAAAACGGGAAATCATCTATTAATAAGATAGAAAAGTAATATTTAGAGAATCAGCTCAAATAACGAAACATTTAAAATCAGTTTCTTTTTCCCCAGAATATATACTTCAAAGGAACTAACGGTAACTACAACAGGTTTTCCGATGATATTAATTGAATCGTACTTCCAGGAATCTATGGGGATACTTGTAATATGTAAAAAGAGTGCTAATACCTATCATTTTGTAATATCATCCCCAAACTGACTGCCGCTTTACTTTCATTCAGTTTATGTGTCATCAAATTGTATCCTGTTGATTCGTGACACTCTGGCGTTTGTAATACGAAAATTAATCCAGTCTTCCAAATCGTTGCCAGGTTCACTCAACTAACTAGACGCATGAACTCTTCAACAATAAGGTTGCATAAATAGTGCCATACAAACATTTCATATAACTTTAGCCACTAACTGGTAAAAGACTTTCATAAACTTCGTCTAGGTATCCGTCTAGCTTTGGTAAATCCCTCAGACTGGAAAAAGTTCACAACATTTGGTATCACTGGCTGAAACACTTGTATATTGTCCTGGAATGTGCAATAACTTCATTCATTGACTTAATCGTTCATCCAACATAAATATCTGTATTAATCTAATGAGACTGGGCAAGCTAGCAGCGTAGCCATTAAAACGTTTAAAAATATACTCTAGGAGTTTGGATATTGACATATGTTAAATTATTAGTGTTTGACTGGTTTTCTACATCGTACTCATCAAACGTAACTTCAAACATATCAACATTAGAATTAGTGACATCATCACTAGTCATGCATTAGCTATATGCATGTGCTTACAACCTTTAACAAAAAACAGGGATTGATGATGATGTACAGTATTGAGCCGCCAAATAAAATTCTCACTTCCAAATTCTTCTTGTTATCTATCAATTATCAATGCGATCTCAGAGTTTTATGGTTATAGAGAGGGGAATGGTTTATTTTAGTGTTTGTGTAAAATCCAACTTCTAAACTTAGAATGCAGTTGTATTGTGGCATACTGAAGAGAGATATGTATAATTTGAAGATAATTTTATTGTTCATTGACGTACGTTGGATAGAAAGTGAAAACCTAACAGCACTGGAGATGTTTCTTAGGCTCTTTAGTCGTACGCAAGGAAACATAATGAACTCCTGCCTTTCAGCTAACCAGTATGTCAGTTAACAACTATGCGTTTTACACACATGGTCATGTGATTTTATTTTAAATGAAGCTTACTTTGTTCCTAAAAATACCGTGTTTGAAGTCAGTTCAGTTTTAAGTAAATCAACTTTACGTGCTCTTAAGGGTTTGTAAATCTGAATTCTGATAAATTTCGAAGAATAAGATCGTCTGTATTCCTTATTCTTAATACTATTGAATATCAAAATCAAGAGTCACTAAAGAGATCTTCATTCAACGAATTCACGATACAGCTTGTTAGGAAATTAATTAGAAGCAAATAGTTTCTCTGAGTTTGTTTTCGTTGATGAATAATCCATTTTCACTTGACTACATAATTGCTTATCTTTTGATGGAGAGAACTGAGGTTTTATGTTGTTGGCAATAGTAATAATATCGAAAAGTTGGAATCGGAAGATTTGTTTTCATTGTTAGACCATATGAGATGAATTATGTTACTATAATTCGCGTTTTATTTTGTGTCATTTTTTTGCGTAATTCAGAGGTATTTTTCTTCATCAAAGTCATATTCGTCGAGAAGTCGACAAAGTTAGCAGTATGATCAAGTTGGATTTAGTGACTTTAGTAGAGCTCCGTTATTTGTTAAGTTAACGTTGTCGACAGTCCGACAGTAGTTGACTGAGCATATTAAATAAGTATTGTGAAATATCACAAATTAAATGAAATGTACTATAGATTTTTTGGATTCCAAGTTAGTGATAGAATGGTGTGTTGTCGGTCGACCCTGGAAGCTTTTGGTTCAATGCAATCTCTTTATTAGTTAGTCCGTCACTAGGACGGAATAGCTTTATACTTTTCCTGTTTTTTTATAAATAATTCTTCGGTCAATGTTGGTTCGTCATGAAAAATCTGTTCAAAATAAGTTAAGCAATCCGAATTCGGATTTTGAGTTTATAATTGTTGTTTGTTATTGATCGCATAATAACTAGAGATATTCTTACTCATGAGAAATCATACATACATTCTGAGTATTTTCTGTCCTGCATTTTATATACTGATGTATTTCTGGATGTTTTATTCTTTGTTTGCTTTTACTGTAATGTAAATACATTATCTTATTTTTAGATAAGTTAAATAATATCAACGAACGATTCGGTATGCAAAATAATTTCGATGTATTGAAATCATCGGAACCTGATAATTTCTTCGGTGTTCAAGGTTAGTGATATTTTATGCTGTTTGTGTTTCAGTGTTCCCACCGCTTTTTTAATTTATTTAATAAATATGATAACGTATAGTCTCTCTACGTGTTTTGTACGTGATTAGGGTAGCGCACACTTATATGAAGTTCGAAGAACTCAGAACCATCGAAAATAAGTTCTTCATGAATAATCAGATTTCCGTGTTATTTTGAGTAATAAGAGAACTGAATAGACTTTTGTTAATACGGTCTTAATCTCAAATTCTAACTTAATTTACTAATAATAGAGCAGAATTCTATGAACATGGCACTCATATCTTGTAATTTCTTCAAATGTTTGAATTCGATTATTTTGACTAATATCATCCATCTTAGATTAAATAACTTTTGATAATTAGTCATTAAAATGCAAATAGATTTATTATTCTTGTTAATATCTGAGATTTTTGAACTTTTACGAATAAAAATAAAGAGAACAATTGTTTTGTTCTTCTTAAGAACATAAAGACTGTCTTTTTAGGCAACATATACTTCTATAGGTATCATTATCAAGGTTCGATTTGATAATTTCGAATAAATTAAGTAGGGGGTAGATTGTTATAAATAAATAATATATTTGTAATATCCCAATGAAGAAGTGGCTTACACTAAGTCACGAAATGTCAGAAAGTCTAATTTTTTATAACATATACTTCTGTTTGGATACTTAATTTTGCTGTTTGTTTTTTAGGGCAACATGTCACCACAAATGATGAATCTCATAACGGTCATACATCTATTCGGATAATTGAAGGTATTCGGCTTTTCAATCAATCAAATCAATTAATCAAATTGCTCCAAGGTATGAATAAATACTGTGTAGTGTTTACCTTTATTACACCCTTTTTCACTCATTTCCGGAAAACTGAACTTTACCTCATGTTTATTGTCATTTTCAAATTTGTGGTTGATGATTAAGCGCTTCATAAGACTCTTCAAGTTGATCAAGGATGAAGTTGATAGGTTTTTCCCTATATTAATTACATAGAATAAATGAAATATATTTCGTATTGACACATAGTTGGGATAATCTAAACTCGTCTACTATTTAAGAAATTCGGGATCACGTTTTAAAACATCGCTATTTCAATTTCTATTAACATAAAGTTAGGTGAGTCTACTACATTTCCTGTCTTCAACTAACCAACACATTTCGGTTATCTGTAATTAATAACAAAAGTAAACTTAGGTACAATATGCATCGCAAGACAGCTGTAGAAAATCGTGTACAGAAGCGAAAAAACCATTTATCTACTTATGTACGAAGTTAACTATTTACAAAATTTTATCCTCTTGTATCTCCCAGGGTTATTGATCGATTAAAGAGTGACAATTCACCTTGTCTAGATCATTTTTGTATTGAAATTATCAAGCTAATTCAGAAAGAGTCTGTCTTTCTAGTACAAGGATACTTTGATAAATAATTTTGTGACCACTTCTAAGTTCTTGCTGTAATAACTTGATACATTTATACATTCTGGGGAATCCCATTTGCCCTTGTTTTAATAATCAGATTATATTTGGATACCTTTCAATGTCAAACAGTATAGATGTACAGAGATATTATTTCGGCAATGATGAAGTATATAGATTTACTTTGTTAGATATGTCGCATGTAGATTACCTTGAGCTCTATTATAATTAAATATTATAAATCGAAGTAATTTTTAACTATGAATTCAACAGTAAAATAAATACTTAACACTATATGTTATAACGCTTGGTTTTCCTCGTCTACATGAATTGGACGCTAATTTGCCTTAGACGAATATCTATACTAGATACTCTCCCAGTGTCTGTTCTACCAGAATTCAACACAACTCAGATCAAGAACACGTGATTAGCCTGACTAGAACGTAAGTATATTTCCACATCAAAGCCCGACAATAATAATAATAATAATAAGGGTAAAAGAATATATAACTTATTTGTACCTGTCAGACTATCTACTAGTCTGACTAAGCAAACAACGAATCATTATCATTCTCGCCCACACATCACTATATGATCATTTTATGTTGCTACCTTTTGGTTTTTTTTATGAACGTACTGATAGGGAAATTTTCAGAGTTTATCCTTTAGTTCTTATAATTTTATTTAAGAAAAAACGCTTTACAATTTATTCATTTAGATGAATTAAGTATTTTGGCCAAGATAAAAAGGTCAAATGAATCAACTCTTTCCTTACCGGTGAACTCTGATCCAGCTACAAACAATATTGATTCTTTTGAGTCTCTTGATAATGTTGATCCTGATAAAACTTCATTGAAAAGACTCGATGTTGTTAATTGTAAAGAAAATAATTTTGAAACTGCCTTACAACGTGCAACAGAGTATGCTACTTTAGTTGCCAATCTTCAACGTCGTGTGGGTGCTGATTTAAATTCTTTGTGTTTACCACCGAATCTTCATAATAATGCTGATATTTTTAATATTCACAGTAAGTTTTCAATGTGTTTTATGTCAGTAAATCACTGTATTCTGATTCATCACTATTTATTGAACAAAGCAGTGTGCATATTTTATACATGAAATTAAATTCTTTCTTCTTATGGTCCATACTTTTACAAAAAGGTTTCCAAATTTGAATAAAACAGCAAACAGTTTTTGTTATAGTAGTGAGATGGATAATTAATTGTTATTCTATGTACTATTTATTCACCACACTAATTGACACTAAAGAGTAACTAACCATGTACACACTGGTGATTAACTTCATGACTAGTTTCCAGGAGTCCTAGTGACCTTAATCATATCAAAAGTGAGAGGGATATAGCCTATAACTATGAATAATCTCTGTGCTTATGACACGGATTGACCAGAATTTGAAATATAGACAGTCGGATTCCGATTTAATATTCTTGAGGTAATGGACTCACTTGATATCTAGTGGTCATGGGTCAAGTTCTTAGTAAGACAAGTTGTAAGTGTTTACTGCTAAATCCTAGATTAATAACTGTCATCCTATAATTGCTCTTCACCACTATCTTTTTAGATGATTTATGTATACCTCCTGCCGAATTCAGGACGACTCATATAACTAAAATGGATGTTTGTCTAGGAACAGAAACACTTGCCGATCATATTCAATCTACTGAAGTGGATGGGACAGCCAACCAGGAAGTTGAAATTAATCACTTGCAAGCGTACAGAATGGATAAAGATTCACATACAGATGAAGAACTTTCAAAACTACACAGTGAGTATTGTTTATGATCATTAAGTACTATTGTGATCTCTAATAATAAGATGCCCCAAAACTTGACCTCATTATGTCCGCTCAGTAAGTTAACCCTTCTGATGTAGGTTTACCTACTGTAGTATAATCGGCTATCTATCTGTAAGTTTTAATCCAGTGTATTTCAGAGCTTAATATACGTGTACATAGTTTCCCAGTTTTATTTATTTCACATGATGTGAACTACTGCCTTATTTTATCTATAGTCTCTAATACTTCATTGATTATATCCAGTAGTAGGAAATTAGTTGCGAAAATGTTAAATAATTCATACGATATTGTTTTATTATATGTCACTGTTTATTTCGGAAAATGTCATTGTGCGGATAAAAGGAGATATAAATATATAGTTATTTTTCGTGTAATTAAATGTCATTCCATTTTCCATTTAAACCTACTATCTATGTATTTTTTTAAGATGAGCTAATGGAATCCGTGAATGAGATTGAAACTTATAAACAGTTGACCGAAGATTTAAGAAAACAAGGTGAGTTTTTAAGTTTGTTTCTGTCCTATTGATTATTCCAATAGTCATTAGAATTAAATTATTAATGTAATATTTTCAATATTGGAAATTCGCGTTGAATATTTGTAAAATACAAAGTAGTTGTTCATTTTTTATAATATGTCTTTACGTTTTAGCAAGTTTATCAATCACCTTTATTTACTGTACATACAACTCGGTGTTTACTTTCAATTTGTTTTTATTAATATGTTCACAGTATTTTGTAAGACATTGTTATTATGCCATTCTATGCGAAATTCCTTTTCCTATGATTACTTCTTAAGGTAAATTTCAAAACATTCTAATCTAACAGTTTATATGATATAAGTGTACTTTTTCTTGCTTATTTGAATTGTAGATGCCGCTAAAGCAGAGTTATTGTTATTGGTTCGAGGGGAATGTGATGCACTGAAAAGTCGAATCGCTGTAATTGAAACCGATGTAGCAACAAGTCGTGCTGATCATCATCGTCTAATATCTGAAACAAGAAGAGCACAAGCAGAAGCTAATGAATTGTTACTTGAACGTGACAATTTATCGAAACAAGTGAGTACTGTCCACGTTTTTTTTTACCAAATATACAAATTTGTGTTTAGTATTTGCAGTAAAACAATCGTAACTTGTACTTTTCCAAACACTTTTTTTAGTAGCTCTTAAATGCCTTGGTGCGGCCGAGGGTGGGAAAAGTCCTATCTCCTTCTCGGAACGCACTCACATGGCCACGCGTATACAGTAACTGTTAGGGAAGTCCTACTCACTGCCTTCTCGTGGCAGGGTTGTTGCTTAACGAAATCGAGAAGACGAGAAGTGAATGTGCTGTGCTCTAACCGAGTTGGTGTATATGGAGGGTCTAGGTAGGGGAGTTGGGAAACCCTGATTCCTAACCAATGGTTTACATGAGCCTCAGGATCTTGAGGGAATGGATTGCGCATGAACGTATTGTTGGTCAACGGCTACCATGAGACTGCATCTCCTAACGTTTCTCCACCAACTTGTTGATTAGATCTTTAAGTGAAAAGCTTGATTAGTGGTCCTCCCAGAAAAAGACGTACTTCGTTTTTGTCTCCTGAGCAGTATTCCAGCCTTCACACAAATCGAATGATGAGGTGTGGCGGATATATATATTTGATGCCTCCTTGTATCAATGTTTATGTTTAAATAAATAAATATTTTTAATTGGAATGCACATTTTTGCTGTGATAGTAATCTCGCTTCTGGTTACTGTTTACATAGAAAATCTACTTTTCAGATTCATCTGTTTTTTAGTATGTATCTTGAGTATTTCACTGTACATATTTCCATTGGTTTTTTTTAAAGTCTTACTAACTCCTCACTATTCACGGCATCAAATTTTTGTGTAAATGGTAAATTTGGATTCATAAAAGGGAATTGTAATTTTACACTTGATTTCTTTTTTTTTCGCTTTTTCATATAAAAACTTCTAGCTAGATACTGCTAATAATCAAATAGAACATTTACAAAAGCTTCTTGCCAGCACACTTTTGTGTGATACCAAAACACAGATTTCTAACAAGAATTCTATTTCCAACGAAATATCCACTGTAAATTCTTTAAATGATAATCTTTGTCCAACTAACCAATATCCTACTAGAACTAGCAACGTGCCATTGCATGAACATTATGTAAGTAGTTTTTTTTACTAAATATGTGTGTATATATCCTAGTTATTTTGACGTTAAAAAATATTTTGTTTATGATTTTGATTGATATTTCTCAATCATTCAGTGATATTTCTAATTTTTGCCTAGTGATAAGTAGTATTGATAATAAACTTTTAATTGATCATAGAAAAAATGATCAATAATTAGTTTTGCGTTTTATTGCATCGATTATAACAAAATTTTCTTCAAATATTACTAAAATTATCACTAATTTACTTCTGTTCTTTTATTTTTACAGTTCTCATTATTTGCTGTCATTCCTGTTATGGTATTGATTTGTGCGTTCATCGTATATATTTTCATGAAATTTGTTCGATGACCATCTGATTATATGACTTGTATACAACTGGATTCTCTATACTATTCTCTTGCTGTTAAAAAATCATACAATAGTAATAATGCTAATAATTCATTTTGATTAGTTTTGAAACCAATAAGGGTAGTTCAATGTGGGAAATTGAAAAAAAAGTGTGCATTCATATTTCAGTCAGCGATTTCGTGAATTTCTACTCACTATATTATACTTGTATCAATATGTATTGTTTTTCTCGGGGATTATTCATCTTGGTTCAATTTATGATCAGTTCATCGACCAAGCAACCACGTCTTACCATTTTTCATCAATAAACACGTTTTTTATACATTTGTGTAGTTCATATAAATCAGTATGCTTATTATTGTACATTTAAAACCAATGACTGTCAAAAGTTATTCAGTTTGTTTCTTCCCTGTCTGTAGTTACTTTAGAGATTTTCAAAAAAACCGCTTTTCCATTATTCTCTTCCTATTACTAGTATCATTATTGAAATGTATTTCCTGGTACCATAATAAATTTTGATATTCTTTATCGACACAGTTAAACTGAAATTTCACTGGTAATAGTTTATATATATATATATATATATATATATATATATATATATATATATATATATATATAAACGCGTGATTTTGTTGAAGTATGTTTTTATGTATATATATGTAGAGATTTGTATTTATCAATTCTATTATCGCACTGATCTCTGATGACATCTTGCATTCTTTCCTCCTTTTCTTATTATTGTTATTGTTATAATTACTACCGTAAACTGCATGCCTTTGTTTCTCACGGGCTTTCCATCGTTCTTTTCTTCGTACGTCTGTGTGCAGAACAAATATTGTCCCTTTCTTTTTTCACCTTTTTCGTTTATCTATGTAATAATCTGTTTACTGATAAACTAACTATGCTACCTAGGCACAAATCGCCTAATAATACAGTAAACTTCACATCTTTAATTAGTATTATTACCACTATAAACTTATTTCTTTCCATAGTTCTTTTTTATAATTCGTGATTTTTTTAATTGTCATAGCTACATCGCAAGCAGTGCATATAAAAGAATGAATGAGTTCAGTTTAAGTCATGTACGAATGCACATATATTGTTATATAAATAAATACGGTTATGATTTTTGCTTGAAAGCATGTCTTATAACTTGGAAAATTCTTCTTTACAGAGACATGATTATTTCGCTTGCTTATTTGTATCACAAACAATTCTGGGGACCGCTAAAAGGGTGTTAAATTCACCTGGATGATTAATTTTTGTTGTATGGTTCATAAATAATCAATGAAATATCAACGGGCTCTGGAAGTCTTTTCTGTTATGAAGCATTTTCTATCTTGTCTCTCGCTAAATTTCATTATGCTTTCGATTTTCGGATTGATAATGTAAAATACACATTTCTTTCTATGCGTATGCACAAATGGTTACATATTTCTTGATGCCTTTTCGTTTTCAGAACAACTAAACCATAGCTCAAAACTAGTATGTGTGTTTAGATCCCTTGCGTTTGTATTGTTTTAAAATGAATTAAGTCTACCCACCTATTATATATATATATATATATATATATATATATATATATATATATATATATATATATATATATATATAAACCGTCATATTTCATATTTTTGTCAATCAATTTATTGTAAATAATTATCGAGGCCTATGAAATTTTGCAATAAGATCCGATCTCTCGTGAATCGTCCATTTCGCAAAACATGGTTCTGTTTAATAAGCTTCTACATTTTCCAAATACAAATTTGGCACGGATGCTTGTTAACTCATAATTTTCATCTTATGATTATAAGACTTTGGTGTGCATAATGGAGTTTCGTATCGCCTTAATTAAAACATCTAAAAGGAAACAAAGTGTACGATTTTTAATGTATTTAAAAATTTTATTTACCCTGTTCTCTTCAAACGACGTATATATATATATATATATATATATATATATATATATATATATATATATATATATACTTGAATCTATGAATCTCACGTTCATTTTCAATTGTTTAAATAAAGGGATTGTCTTGTATGTTATTGCTTAGTCTTATGAACACAGTATTGTTCAGAATTACAAGTGTTTATAAAATACTTTTCATTGTTATTATTAATATACAGTGTATAGTTAGGTAATTACCGTTGTCCATGGTTTTTTTATAGTTTCGATGCCCATATTACTGACTAAAAATTCAATGAATAATATGCTTAACTGTAGACTTTCTAGTCGAATCTAAATAACAATATAGTATATATTCTGAAAATAATTAGGTTATACACCAATTCACAGACATGATCAGGTTGATACAAACTGGATGTACAATACACAAAACGAAATATTCATGAATTATTATTTTCTTCGGACACTTGTCACAAACATATGTAATTCCGGAAATGTAGGTGTAATGCATAATTCAATGCAATGTCATTTTAGAGTACTTACATACGCCCCAGAATGACCTGATACGGTCGCAGGTGGGAAAAGTCCTATCTCCTTCTCGGAACGCACTCACATGGCCACGCGTATACAGTAACTGTTAGGGAAGTCCTACTCACTGCCTTCTCGTGGCAGGGTTGTTGCTTAACGAAATCGAGAAGACGAGAAGTGAATGTGCTGTGCTCTAACCGAGTTGGTGTATATGGAGGGTCTAGGTAGGGGAGTTGGGAAACCCTGATTCCTAACCAATGGTTTACATGAGCCTCAGGATCTTGAGGGAATGGATTGCGCATGAACGTATTGTTGGTCAACGGCTACCATGAGACTGCATCTCCTAACGTTTCTCCACCAACTTGTTGATTAGATCTTTAAGTGAAAAGCTTGATTAGTGGTCCTTCCAGAAAAAGACGTACTTCGTTTTTGTCTCCTGAGCAGTATTCCAGCCTTCACACAAATCGAATGATGAGGTGTGGCGGATATGTATATATATTTAATGCTTCCTTATACCGGTGTTTGTTTAAATATAAATAATACGCATGTTATCCCTCATTGAGAGGCATAGACCTCCCATCAGTATTCTCCATCCAACACTGTCCTGGGCAATCCTTTTGAGTTGTTTCCAAGTGTCGTTCTTTCTTTTCATGTCTCCTTCGAATAATCGACTCTGTGTGTTCTTTGGTTTTTCTCTTCTCCGTTTTCCTTGAAGATTCCAACTTAGTGCTTGCTTCGTGATGCAGTTTGATTATTTGCGTAATATATGTCCCACCCTCCACTTCCAACGTCTTTTCCTAATTCCGTCGTCAGTTCGAAGCTGGTTTATTTTCCCACAGTAGGCTGTTGCTGATGGTATGAGTTCAACAGACATTCGGTATCTTTTTTAACTGTAGGAATACTGTCCTTGCTTTGTCGATCCTCGCCTTTACGTTTGCATGGCATTTTAGATCACAGCATCGTTGTCTAACCAAAGAAAGTAAATAATAACTAGTGTGAGAACTTTAGAGGTATCAATCTATCAGTACCAGGAAAGTTTTCAACGATTTTGAAGCGGATGGAAGATTCAGTAGATGCTTAACTTGGATTCTGTATGGATTAGTTTTGTACAAACCGAATCTCGGCTTTACTTATCACTGTTGAACAATCATGGATAGAATTCGTCACTGTACACCAACCTCCTTGATCATGAGCAAGCATTCTTTGACACTATTGTTTACTCGAGGGGATCATAAACATCATCCTGAATTCATACGACGGAGTACACTGCAAATTCGTGAATGGAGGAGAGCTGACATTCATTACAAGTGAGGACTCGAGTCAGACGACACGACTTAATTTTCCCCTTTCTTTTCTGGTGGTTGATTGGGTTATGAAGACCTCGATTTCCGAGGGGAAATACGGAATACACTGGATAGCGTGGATGTAACTAGATGATTCGGACTTCGCAGATGACGTAGTTCTTCTATTCAATACGTAGCAACAAATGGAGGTGAAGATAGCCAGTGTAGCAGCAGCCTGTTTGCAACTAATTCGTGATGTAAGCTGCAAATAATTAGACGATTTGATTTTTTCTAAATTTTATGTTTTAAACTGAGTACAAACACATTTTGTTGGGGCTGTGTTCTCTGCGCTTGATAGTATAATCGTGAAGCATATAAAGTAATGCCTACGAAATACATCAAATGCAACAATTCACCTTTAGTCAGTGTATGATAAACAAATAAATTTACTAAAAATATATATTATAGACACACACATGCACAATTGATTCAAGCAACTCTCGTCAAATTCCACGTTATGATCTACATTTGAAAATACTGTCTATTAAACTAAGTTTCTCTTTTAAGAATAAATTGAGTCAGTCTACAATAGAATAAAATCAATGAATAAAGAAGTAATTCACAGTTAAATAAATGTACATGGCACATTAATTCATGTTAAAACATGAAGCATAAATGGAAGTATTACTGAATAGATCACATTCTAAACATTCCCATAGAGTATTATATGAATGTAATTAGTAGTTTGCATAGTCTGTGCCATGGACTGAATTTAGTTAGGAAACTGATAGAAACCAGTGAAGCATTGAGCAGCTATTCCATCTTAGTAAACGACTCCTCCTCAATGTGCACTCATGAATAAATGAGATCAGTCCTAAATGTAAAGTCGAAAAATTGAAAAATCTTTACAATCCAACATCACCTCAACCTCAGACTAATACCGTTTATTTTGCATAATTCACTCGTTTTTGTCTCGATTTTAACGATTATATTGTTTTCGGTATATTGACGAGAAAGTCTGCATATAGTTTGCTTGGTATATTGTAGATAATGGTTTTAACAATGTCAATTGGACGGAGAACACATACTACCAACCTGTTCTTCTCAGTAGACTGTAAACTGATAGTTGATCACCGTCAAATCAATAGAACATTCGTGGTTTTTATGTTTGAATTTATTTCTTGCCTAATAAATTCCATGATATTGAACTCGGATCGCTTTCCCATCAGCTGAAGCAATATGGCTACCCTGTTCAATGGGACCAGTCTAGTGTAATGCTGTTATCGTATCTCAATTTCTTGTTATTTCTTTCTGTAACACCAACTTGTTTGTTTATCTTTTTGAAATTTCGTTGTCTGATTGTTTGTGATTCATGTGCACATGTATGGAAAACTTGAGAACCAAAATGTTACCAGGTGTTGAAATATATCTGTATAGCAAGACATTTAATCTGTTCTGTGTATCCTATATTTATTTATTCATCAGCATTGGTCATAATTACCTGTTGGGTTTGCGGTGTTATCTCATTTCTCGCTTCAACGTAACTTGTAAAACGTTTTTAAATTATGTTCTATGCACATAACCATCACATGTAGACTTAGATGAATTTCATCCGCCTTACTCGAGCCCACATAGTTTTCGCCACTTCTCGTTTATCTTACTGTGTTTATTCATCACATACCGAAATCAAGGTGTTATGACTTTAAGTTGGGTGGATTTTTACCCTGTGCTAATTGTTGTGCCCTTGACTGAAAAAATTAGAGAGCAGCGTATTTATCGATTGATTCACTGACACGTAAAC